CTGTAAAAACAAATATATATACATAAAAAATGTTTATTTTTATTTACATACCTTTAATATTACACTTATTATCGTGTCTATAAACTGCGTGTTAGATAGGAGTGAATGGAGACGAATGGTACTTGGGACCTGACGATCTGTTGGAGTGTGAGCAGGGTAATATTTAGTGAAGGGATTCAGGGAAACCGGTTATTCTCATATAGTCGGACTTGAGTCCTGGAAATGGGAAGTACAATGCCTGCACTTTAAAGGAGGGGTTTGGGATATTGGCAGTTTGGAGGGATATGTTGTGTATCTTTATACGTATATGCTTCTAAACTGTTGTATTCTGAGCACCTCTGCAAAAACAGTGATTATGTGTGAGTGTGGTGAAAGTGTTGAATGATGATGAAAGCATTTTCTTTTTGGGGATTTTCTTTCTTTTTTGGGTCACCCTGCCTCGGTGGGAGACGGCCAACTTGTTGAAAAAAAATTATATATATTATATATAATGGTATATATATATATATATATATATATATATATATATTTATATATATATATATATATATATATAATCACAATACAGGATAAAATTTCAAGAATTAAAAGCCAATATTTGCTGCAGTGAAGTGCACCCTTTAAAGGGGCCCTAATTTTGGGGCCGTATGCAACATAAAAATTTTAATTTAAAGTTTATAAAACCATTTTTGGCAAAATACCTACATTGTGTAGACTTATCCTTGAGATTAAGTAAAACATTTATCTTTTTTCCCATCAGAGGAACAAACTTCATTTTCCCCCCCCCCCCCCCCAAAAAGCTAAATAAAATCGAAAATTAAAACTTGCACAATCCAAAAAATCCTTTTCAATTTCCCTTTGGGAAAACGCTCAACATAAAAAAAAAGTTGAAGCCAATCGGAAGAGTCATTCTAAATTATGACACCCCCAGGAAATAGGGAATGTGTGGTAAAGTTGCACTTGACGTCGAGTGCCAGGGCATTGTGGTTGAACTTTTTCTTTCAGATTTGCATCGAAAAGCTAGGAAGGTGTTTCGACGCTTCCCTGAGTCCCCCGTTTTTTCACTCCGCCCCCCTTTCCCACCAAGTCATATTTTTTTTAAATTTAGAAAAATTTTGATACAATCATTTATCCCATCCTGAATAGGGAATTATACAGCGGGGAAAAAAAAAAGCTAGGGTTTCCTGTCACTTTCCATACGATGGGGATACATAGATACAAACAGGTGGGATACATGTTATACATGGGGGGATACAAAATACATGGGGGGATACATAGATAAAACATGGTGGGATACATAGATATATACTGGTGGGTTTCATAATACTGGGGGGAACATAATTAAAAATGGTGGGGAAAATAGATAATACTGGTGGGGTACAAATAAGTGGGGGATAATATATACTTTGTGGGAAAATAGATAAAACATGGTGGGTAAAAATTAAGGGAACTTAAATGGTGGGGAACTGTTCAGGGGGGTCTAAAATATCATTGGATAAATTTAATTTTTTCTTTTGGGCCAAAAAAATCTGGGGGGAACAAATTTTCGGGTGGGGGCTTTTTAACTCATAATAATAATAAAAAATTTTTCCTCTTCTGGTCCCCCATTCTCGCTTCTCCTTTCCGGTTTTTTTTTTTTTTTCCGGGCTTTTCCCCCTTTAATTCCCCTTTAATAATTTTAAAAAAATTAAAAATTAATAAAAAGTTTTTTCCATTATTTTGTTCTAGTGTTTTTTTTTTGTTTTGTTTTTTTAAAATTTTGTTTTGTTAAAAAAAAGTTGTGGTGGGGAAGGTGTGGGGGGTGTTGGGGTGTTTGTTGGGTTTTTTGTGTGTGTGTTAGTGTGTGTGTGTGTGTGTGTTGTGTTAGTGTGTGTGTGTTAGTGTGTGTGTGTTAGTGTGAGTGTGTTGTGTGTGTGTGTGTTAGGTGTGTGTGTTAGTGTGTGTGTGTTAGTGTGTGTGTGTTAGGTGTGTGTGTTAGTGTGTGGGTGTGTGTGTGTGTGTGTGTGTGTGTGTGTGTTATGTGTGTGTGTTAGTGTGTGTGTGTGTGTGTGTGTTAGTGTGTGTTGTTTAGTGTGTGTGTGTGTTAGTGTGTATGTTGTTAGTGTTTTGTGTGTGTGTGTGTGTATGTGTGTTAGTGTGTGTGTGTGTGTGTTTTGTTTAGTGTGTGTGTGTTAGTGTGTGGTTTAAGTGTGTGTGTTAGTGTGTGTGTGTGTTAGTGTGTGTGTGTTAGTTTGTGTTTGTGTTAGTGTGTGTGTGTTAGTGTGTGTGTGTGTGTGTGTGTATGTTACTGTGTGTGTGTGTATGTTTGTGTGTGTGTGTGTGTGTGTGTGTGTGTGTGTGTGTGTGTGTGTGTGTTGTGTGTGTAGTTAGCGTATGTGTGTGTGTTAGTTTGTGTGTTAGTGTGTGTGTGTGTTAGTGTGTGTGTGTATGTTACTGTGTGTGTGTGTGTGTGTGTGTGTGTGTGTGTGTGTGTGTATGTTAGCGTATGTGTGTGTGTTAGTGTGTGCGTGTTAGCGTGCGTTAGTGTGTGTGTGTGTGTGTGTGTGCGCGTGTGTGTGTGTACTCACCTATATGTGGTTGCATGGGTCGATTCATAGCTCCTGGCCCCGCCTCTTCACTGGCCGCTACTAGGCCACTCTTCCTGCTCCATGAGCTTTATCATACCTCTTCTTAAAGCTATGTATGGATCCTACTTCCACTACATCACTTCCAAGACTACTGCACTTTCTGATAACTCTGAAGAAATATTTCCTTACATCCCTGTGATTCATCTGAGTCTTCAACTTCAACTGTGACTCCTTGTTGCTGTGTCCCATCTCTGGAACATCCTGTTTGCCCACCTTGTCGATTCCTCTCAGTATTTCATATATCATTATCCTATCCTCCCTAACTCTCCTGTCCTCCAGTGTCATCAGGTCGATTTCCCTTAACCTCTCTTAGCTCCAGGACTAGTCTTGTTGCAAACCTTTGCACTTTCTCTAATTTCCTTATGTGCTTGGCTAGGTGTGGGTTCTAAACTGGTGCTGTATACTCCAATATAGGTCTGACGTACACAGTGTACATGGTCCTGAAGGATTTCTTATTGAGATGTCGGAATTCTAGTCTTAGGTTCGCTAGGCGCCCGTATGCTCCAGCAGCTATTTGGTTGACATGCGCCTCAGGAGATGTGCCCGGTGTTATACTCACCCCAAGATCCTTTTCCTTGAGTGAGGTTTGTAGTTTCTGGCCCTCTAGACTGTACTCCGTCTGCGGTCTTCTTTGCCTTCCCCCAATCTTCAGAACTTTGCACTTGGTGGGGTTGAACTCCAGGAGCCAGTTGCTGGACCAGACCTGCAACCTGTCCAGATCTTTTTGTAGTTCTGCCTGGTCCTCGTCTGATTGAATTCTTCTCATCAACTTCACATCATCAGCAAATAGGGACACTTCTGAGTCTATTCCTTCCGTTATGTCGTTCACAAATACCAGAAACAACACTGGTCCTATGGCTGACCCCTGTGGAACCCCTCATGACAGGAGCCCACTCTGATCCCTCGCCACGTACCATGGCTCGCTGTTGTCTGCCTGACAGGTATTCCCTGATCCATTGCAGTGCCTTCCCTGTTATCTCTGCCTGGTCCTCCAGCTTTTGCACTAATCTTTTGTGTGGAACTGTGTAAAACGCCTTCTCACAGTCCAAGAAAATGCAGTCTACCCACCCCTCTCTCTCCCTCTTGTCTTACTGCTGTCACCCTGTCATAGAACTCCAGTAGGTTTGTGACACAGGATTTCCCGTCCCTGAAACCGTGCTGGTTATCGTTTATATGCTCATTCTTTTCTAGGTGCTCCACCACTCTTCTGATAATTTTCTCCATGACTTTACGTACTATACATGTCAGTGACACTGGTCTGTAGTTTAATGCTTCGTGTCTGTCTCCTTTTTTTTAAAATTGGGGCCACATCTGCTGTATTCCATACCTCAAGTAGTCGCCCTGTTTCGATAAATGTGTTGAAGATTGTTGTTAATGGTACACACAGTGCCTCTGCTCCCTATCTCATAACCCATGGAAAGATATCCGGCCCCATCGCCTTTGAGGTATCTAGCACGCTTAGCAGCCTCTTCACTACTTCAGTTGTATGTATTGTGTCCAACACTTCATGGTGTACCCTACCTCTCTGTCTTTCTGGAGTCCCTTCTGTTTCCTCTGTAAACACTTCTTTGAATCTCGTGTTGAGCTCCTCACACACTTTGTGGTCGTTTCTTGTGATCTCACCTCCTTCCTTCCTCAGCCTGATTACCTGGTCCTTAACTGTTGTTTTCCTCCTGATGTGGCTGTACAACTGCTTCGGGTCAGGTTTGGTTTTCATTGCAATGTCATTTTCGTGTTATCGTTGGGCCTTCCTTCTTACCTGTGCATATTCTTTTCTGTCTCTGCGACTGCTGTCCTTATTCTCCTGGGTCCTTTGCCTTCTATACTTCTTCCATTCTCTAGCACACTTGATTTTGGCCTCGCTGCATTTTTATGTGAGCCAAGGTCTCATCCTGGCTTTCTTGTTATTTCTGTTACCCTTGGGTACAAGCCTCTCCTCAGCTTCCTTGTATATTATTGTCAAATATTTCATCTCGTTTACTGACATCCCTGCCAGTTCTCTGTCCCACTGAACCCCATGCAGGAAATTCTTCATGCCTGTATAGTTCCCTCTCTTGTAGTCTGGCTTCATTCGTCCTACACTTTAAGCTTCCCTCTCCACTTGTAACTACTATGTATTCGAAGCTCAGAACCACGTGGTCACCGGCCCCGAGGGGTCTTGCATATGTGATGCCCTCAATATCTGCACTACTCAACGTAAATACTAGGTCCAGTCTTGTTGGTTCATCCTCTCCTCTCTCTGGTAGTGTCCCTCACATGTTGGTACATGAGGTTTTCCAGTAACATCTCCATCATCTTAGTCCTCCACGTTTCTGGGCCCCCATGTGGCTCCAGGTTCTCCCAGTCGATTTCCTTGTGATTGAAGTCGCCCAC